CTAGAAGAAAAATTTTGGTCCTTATTATAAAGGGTTAACAGGGTCATTAATGAATTTTTTCCTAGTTTATTCCTAGTTACAAATTATTATTACTTATGTAAATAACTTTTCACTAGCTCCTTGAAATTTGTTATAAAGGGTAGGTTTTAAAAAATTTATACTTTTAGAGCACACTCAATAATATAATTGTCATTTTTTTGTTTGTATGAATTAGTTTATTAACCTCTTATAATAAGGATCAGATGGAGTATTTGAAAAAACAATCAGCCCGCCTTATTTTGCACCCAAAACAGCACCGTTATGGATAAAGAAGGGCAGGACATGGTCAAAAAAAATGTCGTTGTTCATCAAGGTGTTATTTGGCCTCTGCAATTTGTCATTAAAGAAATTCTTCGTTCTATTTCATTTCCTTTCTCATTTTTCAATAGGAATTCACACTTTTCATTACACTTCTATTAGTAATAATCTCTTTAATCTGCATTGGTCCTTGGTGATTCATAAAATTAAAGGAAGGTGCATCGACAGGTTGAGTGCCACATCTTAGTTTGTAGGTTTAGCTCTCCAATATGGCATTTTTATTGGAAAATAAAAAGTAGCTATGCTTAATTAGCTCTTTTTTTTTACATTGGTGCCTTGGTCTTTTGCTTCTTCAGTGAGTTCACTAGAGCCGGGAAAACGAGTCAAGCCCGTTGGGCTAGCTTGTTTAAGCCTAATTAAGTCAAGGGACGGGCTTGTAATTTGAAGCTTCCAAAAGTAAGTTGGGCTTAAGAGGGCCAGTCCTGTAGGGCCTATAACTAAACGGGTTGGCCCCATAGGGCCACGGGCCGGCCCGTTTAAGCCAAAAAATTTTTGAAAGGAAAAAGAAAGCCCTAAGTCCTTAACCGGCTAACCCTTCTCTTACACACATACTCTTCCAGAGACCAAAGTCTTCCTTCCTTTTAGTTTCTCACTTTCAGCCACTCACATCTCGGTCTCACGTTGTCACGACTCACGTAGACGCAGACTCTGGCACTCACCCTCGCTCAGCACTTTAGCAGTAGCACTCTTCGAGTCTTTTGTCTTCATCTCTCTCAGTCTCCTACTCTCCATCTCCTACTTCCAATCTGTCTCTGACTCCCAGTCCCAGATCCCCACAGAGACAGATTTACAGACGACCGTCAATATCGGCAGTCACCCTCACTCCCATCGCCTAGTCATCATCTCTCTCAGCCTCACCTCTTAATCACACAGATTCGCAAAATGCAAATTGTTGGTAGTCACCTACTCACCGTCACCTAGTCATTGTCGCCATCACCATTTATAGACCACCAATCAGACATCGCAGATTGGTAGTAACCATTGGCTGTCGCCTATAGCCTGCCTTTGCTTTGCCAGTTCACCTGCATTTGTGACAGCCCAAACAAAATCCTAACTGTTGACTAGTTCCCATATAGTTGTGTTCCCCCTCTACTTCCCCTGTTCCCCCATCAACCAACATCCTAACGTCCCCTGTCAATCAGCTCCCTTACTGTTCGTGAGTCTATCCAACCTCAAGACGTGCAGTACCACCTCTCCAGTGAGTCAGCGACCAACGACTAGTATCAGCATCTCTACTTTAGTGAGTCTTTGCTTCATGCCTTCATTCTTGATTTTAGAGTCTAGACCACCTAATTTTAGACTCTATGTTCATTCATTGCCGATTTTTCTAGTGTAAAGCATTTCTAAATTCTAATATTGATTACTGTTTAATGTTTATTTGTTAAATTTGTTAATTGCTTGCTAATTAATATACATTAAGAGGATCCTAAATTGTAATTTTTTGCTGATTGTTGGCAAGTTGGCAGCATCATGCAAAGAGAAAAGGCTCAAGGGACTGATGATGCATCATTAGCTACGGATGGCAAAGGTAAATCATCTTCTCTTCAAGTGACTGAAGAATCAAAGCCAAAGAAGCCTAGAATTTTGACCTCTGATGTTTGGAAGTATTTTACTAGAGTAGAGATTGATGGGGTAAATAAGGCAATATGTAATGGTTGTCAAAGTTTATATGCATCGGGTGGGGGTAAAGGCACTTCACATTTAAGTCGCCACATTAAGTCTTGTAAAAGTCTAGACAAATTTCATGATATTGGATTGACGATGATGGATAGTGAAGGCAATATAAGGTCTAGAAAAATTGATCATAATCGTATTAGGGAGTTTATAACTATGGCCATAATTGAACATAGTCTTCCTTATTCATTTGTTGAATATAGATGGATTAGGGAACTACTTAGCATGTTAAATCCTGATGTGGGGCTCATGACTAGAAAAACGATTGTGGCTGATGTTATGAAGTTCTTCCACCAACAAAAAGATAATTTGAAACAGAAATTACAGAAAAGTATAGGTAGAATATGTTTGACTTCTGATTGTTGGACTGCTATGACTTCTGAAGGATATATATATATTTGACAGCTCATTTTGTGGATGAAAGGTAGACACTGAATAGTAAGATACTTTCATTTTGTAGAATGGAGCCCCCACATTCTAGGATACAAGTGTCCAAAAATGTATGATTGTTTGAAAGAATGGGGGATTGAGAATAAAATATTCTCAATTACTCTAGATAATGCATTTGCAAATGATAACATGCAAGACTTATTGAAAGAGAAGCCACTTTTGGAAGAAAACTTTGATTTGATTTGTGGTGGTGAATTTTTTCATACAAGATGTTGTGCCCATATCCTTAACTTAATAGTTCAAGAAGGTTTGAAAGTAACAAGTAGTGCTTTATGGAAGATTAGAGAGAGCATTAAATGGTGGAAGGCATCTGATACAAGAATGATTCAATTCAAGCAATGTGTTGAGCAAGTAGGTGGCATTGACACTACAATGAGCCTACGATTAGATGTGCCCACCAGATGGAACTCCACTTATACAATGCTTGAAAGTGCACTTAAATATCATCATGCTTTTGCAAACTTTGCTTTGTGTGATTCAAACTACCCAAGATGTTTTAATCTGACAAATGATGAATGGAAGAGAGTAGAGACAATGTGCAATTTCTTGAGGCCATTTGAAAAGATAACGAGGTTGATTTCTAGGTCATCATATCCTACTGCCAACTCTTATTTTATGCAAATATCAAAAATTGAGATGTTGCTTGATGCAAACATGAAAAGCATTGACGATGTGATTAGAAAGATGTCCAGAAGAATGAAAGAAAAGTTTGAGAAGTATTGGCAAAATTACAATATTCTTCTTGCACTTGCTGTGTTTTTTGATCCAAGATGGAAGTTTAACATCATCCAATATTGTTATGCAAAGATTGACCCTGTCACTTCTTCTAAGAAGATTGCCAATGTCAAGAGCAAGCTAGATGCCATTTTCAATGAATATTCAAATATGGGGACATCAATCACATCATCTTCTAGACAAGGGTATGGAAGTGCATCAACTTGTAGATCTTCAATCCTTACAACTCATCATGCTTCTCACACTTCAAGTGCTTCAACAACAACAACAATCTCTTTTGATAATGCATTTGATGTAAGTTTTAAATTTGTCAATTAAATTTGTTTTTTATTTAGCTTGTATTTGATTTAATTTTAATGATACAGGATTATCAAGATATCTATGCAATCATGGATCATTCTTCTATGGACAAGTCTGAATTGGAAACTTATTTAGAAGAACCAATTCTAAAACCTGGTAATTGGAAAGATTTGGATGTCTTGAACTGGTGGAAGAACAATCAAACTCGGTTCCCAAATCTTTGAAGGATGGCAGTTGATATTTTGAGCATTCCAATCACGATTGTAGCTAGTGAATCGGCTTTTAGTATTGGTTCACGTGTTCTTACGAAGTATAGAAGTTCTATTCTTCCAGCTAACCTTCAGGCTCTCATTTGTGCTCGCAATTAGTTGCATGGATTTGCATATAAAGGTAATTCACTAATTTATAAGTATTCTATTATAATTATTTATGCTTTTAATTGCTCAACTTGTCTATGATGTGGTTTATTATTTGTTGCAAAGAATGCATGTGATATTGATGATGGAGAAGAAATCATTGATATTTTTAGAAGTCAAGAAGAGCTGATTAATAGTGAAGCACAGTCAAATATCCTTGCAATTGATGATAGTGATGATGAAGTTTCGAAAAAAATAAAGATGCCACTATCACTTGAAGCCTGATGTTGCTTGACATGAGCTCTATGCTTTAGTTGTTTGTTGTGAACTTAATGTTTATTTGGTTGTTCATCTTTGTCTTCACTCTTCCGTTTAGTTTGTCTATTTAATAGATTTTATTGCGGTGTGATGGATATTTTGAATGTTTACATATGATGATGTTTCTATTTGTTACCTAATTTTATTGATATTTATATCTTTTATTAGTAATTTTATTATTTTACCTTTATTATTTTGATTAAATATGCAAGAAACATGAAAAAATTAAATTTGTAGTTAAAAGGGCTAAAAGCCCGCAAGCCAGCTCGAGCCCGTTGTCCCATAGGCAGAGCTTGAAAAATTAGCATATTTCTGAGAGTTGGGCTTAAACGAGCCAGCCTGTTTAGGCCAGAGCTCGTGACGGGCCGGCCTGTTTTCCTACTACTAGAGTTCACAAGAAAGAAGATCTGGGTTCTAAGAGAATCATATTGGCACCATTTATCATAGGCATTAATAAGAGGCAAATTAACCTTTATGCGTTGGCAAAAAGAATTAATCTTTATGGCTTCAAATCAGTAGAGTACCATTTAGCAGGACCTAACGCTTGTATTCAAGGCTTCCTCTTTTCTTTCCTCTTTCGTAGCTCCCCCTCTCCCGGCTCTATAATCATGTAGACAATTTCCTCTGTCCTCCTGATGCTACAATGTAAAATATTTGTATTATTAATATAATCTTATCTTTTATCAAAAAATAAATGAAAAACAACTCCCTTAAAAGACGCGCGTTATTCTCCTAGTCAAGCTTTTAATTGCTTTTTAAAAAAAATATTAATTATAACAATCGTTTCCAACGGGCGGTGGTTTTGGCATGAATCATGATCATCGCCATATAAATGATCAGAAGCTGTTGTATCTGACGCTATGGTCTCCAAAACAGAGGCAAATATGGCTTCGCTGCTACCATACGGCGACGTTGATTTCAGCCTGAGGGCAATGGCGGGTCGCGCTGAGGGATTTGGTTGCAACTCCATCGGTGGCCTCCACGGCCCTCTCTATTTCGTCACCACCGTCGCTGGTTTGTCTTTTTCTTCATCTTTCGATCTATTCTGAAAATTAGGGATACTTTATTGTGGTTTTGAGATTTTAAGATGCTTATCAAAGGTGCTTTTGGTCCCATTTTAGATTTTACTCGAGTAATTTTAAATTTTGGAATGGCGATGTAGGTTCACAGATTTTACTCGCGCTTTCAAGTTTCTGGTCTATGTAATGCATTTTTGTTCATAATTGTTTTCATTTCCATCTTTCTATCTTTTTTCTAACCCAAATTAATCGGTGGATTGAAAGGTGATGATGACTTCTGATATATTGGATTTATAGATATGCTGAGATATAACCCAAAGCAACCAATAAGTTGGTTTCTATGATATTCATTGGCGATGGCGCTGGTATAAGGACTTTGGATTTTCTGATTGCCACCATATTATTGACATAGTCATTTTAGTGAATTATTTTCGGAATATTTTCATTTTGAACTGTGAAATATTTGGGGACTTGCAGTTTTACTACTACCTCTTGTCCTTCATAGAAGGGCTAGTTAAGGGTTAGATTTAGTTTTGAATATAAGATCCTGATTTATTTGGTCACTAATGATATAATTTTCACCCCATAGTATCTCTATTAATTGTACATATTAAGGAGATTCCTACTAAAAGACAATTCCAATGCACATGATTAAATAAGACAATTTAGGAAAATCAATACACATTGTCTACAAATCTTCAATTTAACTAATTTCCTTAACATCAAAAGATTAGTTATCTAACTTTTATATTAAGAACGAGAAGGAATATTCTGAGAACAGAAAGGTTCTGCGGAGTGACATGCTTGGGCAATAATATAATGGGAAGTATTGAGCCATTGCGGTTTTGCTAATTAGAGGATCAGGTTCTCACATATCATATAGTTTCATTAGAGGCTATAAACCATGCAAACATATAAAAAAATTCATCATTACACTATCTGTTACCCATAATCTGTTTCCAGATGATGGTCCTGGATCCCTTCGGGATGGATGTCGTAGAAAAGAGCCACTCTGGATTGTTTTTGAAGTATCAGGTACCATTCATCTTTCATCATACTTGAATGTATCATCTTACAAGACAATAGATGGCCGAGGCCAGAGTATAAAGCTCACAGGAAAGGGCTTAAGGCTGAAAGAATGTGAGCATATAATCATATGCAACCTTCAGTTTGAAGGAGGTAGGGGTCATGATGTTGATGGCATTCAAATAAAACCAAACTCTAGGCACATATGGATAGATCGCTGCAGTCTTCGTGATTATGATGATGGGCTTATAGACATTACAAGACAAAGCACAGATATTACTGTATCGAGGTGGGTTCAAATCTGAATGTTTAAAATGAGCTGCAATAATTACTTGGTCATCTATGTTGTATATCACTGAGTTATTTGACTCTTGTTGCCAGATGTTACTTTGCCCAGCATGATAAGACCATGCTCATTGGAGCTGACCCATCTCACATTGGCGATAGATGCATACGGGTGACAATTCATCACTGTTTCTTTGACGGGACACGACAAAGACAACCTCGTGTTAGATTTGGAAAAATCCATCTGTACAACAACTACACCAGAAACTGGGGTTTATATGCTGTTTGTGCTAGTGTTGAGTCCCAGGTAAGCTTTTCTCTTGTATCTTCTCTTTTTTTTTTCCCTGTTATTCTTGCATGCAGCTTATTAGTGTTTTTCATGTAAGTGATGATTTGAAAACATTCTACAGATATACTCTCAGTGCAACATTTATGAAGCAGGAACTAAGAAAAAGACCTTTGAATTCTATACGGAGAAGGTAGAATATTAGTCTCTGTCACTTCTATCTAGATTTAGTTTTACCATTCATTAATCGGGACCTTACCCCTGTTTGGTCTAACAAATGCTCGAAATGAAATTTTTTGGCATGGCTTCTCCCTCAGAACTCAGCTTTGACCTTAAAATGGATTAAAACATGTTATTTAAGCATTGTGCCATCTGAGGCTTTAAATTATGTAATGCTTTTTTCACTTCTAATTCTTTGTCAAAGTATGTAAGTAATCCAATTTTGTTCTCAGTCTAGCCAAATTTGTAATATCGTTCAAGACTTTGCATTGATGTGTAACATCACATGCCTCTGCAATTATTAGGCGGAAAATATTACTCTAGTTCAAAACTATTGAGTCAGCTGGTACTTGGTGCAGCGGTTATGTCAAGTGTGAACCTGGCTGCTTTGTTTGTGAATTGCGTCCCAACCTTAAACATCAGTTATCATTTTTAGTTAACCCCATACTTTTTCTCCTAGAGGGGCAAGGGGTTATGTACCCAATTTTTTTCTTTTTTACTGCACAGGTGTTTTCCTAGTGGAGACAATCCTCAAATACTAAATATGGACACCTCTCATAATGGAGATTGAAACCTTTATTCACAGCACTATGAGAGACGAATCCTTTTCATTAGACCCAAACTCCACTGGTCATACGAAATTAATGCACATACCTATTCCTAAAAACACGTATCCTGTATAAAGCCCCTTTTAATAATTTATGTTTGACGAGTTGAAGTGTTGAGACTTCACTGCAAACACGTACCTTAGCCCATTACCACTCCGTTATGTTTTAGGCTTGAATGCTGCTAGATTTGTCATGCAAGTTAAGATGCAGGATGTCATAAATATGGCAAAACGATTATAATTTCTAGAAACTAAATTCAGAATTAAGGTGAATTACATGGTTCTTAAAGACAAACATGGTTATTATGTATATGAAAACAATGCTTCAAAGCATCAACTCCTTTTACTGCTTTTCTTTTGAAGGAATATGAATGAGAAAAAAGTAAATAGTTTCAATGCATATAGGAACAGAATTCCATAATATAAGGTGACAATTACTATGCAGACAAGATCATGTTTGTTGTATTGGTCCACAAATTTACTTAAGGGCATCGCAGCAGAAAATGTTTTGCTGTGAATTATATTGTTGTTAGGTTATTCAACACAAACATTACATGTAGAAGAAAATTTTTTCAAACTACCAATCATTTGGTGCTGAGTTGTAAAAAACTTAGCCACCTGTGTTATTTTTGTTGGATAACTTGGTAAACTCCTCTTGCCTAATCCTCGAGACATTTACTGCAACTTCTAACGGTAGTGAACTTGTAATATTAATAATTCCCCAGGCTGCAGATAAGGAAGAGCAGAAATCTGGCACCATAATATCTGAAGGAGACATATTTCTGAATGGTGCGGAATCATGCTTACAAACACAACACACAGAAGGAAGCATTTTCCACCCTTCTGAATATTATACAACTTGGACTATGGAAGCACCCTCACATTCTTTTAAAGGTGTTCTCCAGATATGTGCAGGTTGGCAATCTGTTTGTCGGCCGGCAGAAGTCTCTTCTTGTTTGAATTAGAATGCCTTGCAGGATTTCACCTTCTGGTTTGTTCAGTCGTCATTAACACACAATAAGTAAAACTAGAGTGAATCCTGTGTACTTATACAGAACTTGAGATGAGCTGCACCAATTATAATTTGTGAATAATGCAGCTCTATATACTTTTAATTTATTATATTGGTTTGTAATTAAGGATTTTTCATTTTTCTAACAGTTTAGTATTGGCACCACTATTTTGTTCTGTAAACTTCGGCCAAATTTGCGGGTTTGTAGCCATAATTTTGGTTGTGCCTGTATCAAGAATGATTCTTTTTATTGTAAGTAGCCGTCTAAGTCAGAATATATAACCAAAATCGCATAACATCTCCTGAGCATATGCAGTGTATAGAATTTGTTTATGTTTTCTTATTAAGTTGTAAATTTGTCCTAAAAATTTTCACTTACAAATTTACACTTAGGAGTGCTTGGCACTTGGAATTTTTTTGGGTACAAATTTGTCTAAAAAGTTTAATATCGTAGTAATAGTGCTTCTTACCATTACGGTCAATGTTACTATCTTAATAATCAACATTAGTTTTTTTATTTTTATGATAGGAGGCAATATTATAATAATTTTAAACTTTTTGAATAAATTTGCACTCAAAAAATTTTCCAAGTATTAAATGCTCATGAGTGAGAATGTTTGAGACAATTTGCATGTTAGCCTTTTTTTAACTCTTATGTGAAAGTTTGGAAAGTAGTAAGTTATCATCAAAATCATCCCAATGTTATCAAATTGTACTAGAAAAAAAGTATCTAGAATGTAGTTGTAGGCGAGCTATGGTGTTCAAGTGTGGATAACTATTTTATTCGGTCTAAGTAGAATTTGATCCCATCACCCTTAAGTTTCCAAAAGATTTGGTGATCATGGAGCCACCGAATCCATTTGCAATGGCAACATAAAATAATATTTAAAATGACAATCAAAGTAAAAGTCTCTATTAAAAATCGTTCCCCATACTGCCAACGGTATTTACAATACCTGTACCGAGTTTTACTACTTTATCTACATAATTTGCAATGACTTTTTTACAATCTCAACACTTCAAAAATTAAAAAAAGGCCATGTTAAAAATTATTTACTATACTACTAATGGCATTTACAATACCTTTACCAAGTTTCACTGCTTTACAAACATCATTTGCAGCAATTTTTTTTTTTTTTAATAATGTCAACACCTGTGAAAATACAAGTAAGCGAAAACATTAACTACACTATCAACAATTTCACAACGCTTTTAACGAGTTCCATAATTTCATCAACGCCGTTTACGACACATTTTTTACAATTTCAATATTTGGAAAAATATAGCATGGTATTGTTTTAAAAATTTCTTTGGTTAAATTTTATGTAAATGTGGTAAATATTGTTAGTAGTGTGTGGTAAATTAATTTAGAGCCTAACCCTTTTAATTGTATTCTTTTCAAGCGTTGAAATTGTAAAAACGTTATTGTGAAAGGCATTAATAACGTGATGAAACTCGATAAAAAGTTGGTAAATGTCGTTAATGTAGGAAATGATTTAAAATATGACCCTCTTGCTTGTATTTCTTTGTTCAAGTGCTCCAATTGAAAAAAAAATGTTGTAAATTGCATTGATGAGGTGATGAAACCAGTAAAAGTTTTGTAAATACCACTAACAATGTGCTCCTCCAATCCTTAACATAAAATCCATTTAACTAATTTGATTAGATTAAGAAAATTAGGTAAGTTAGTTAATTATAAAAAATGTGATATATTTTTCCTAAAACACCATAATCTTTCTTAATACCCTGTCTCCCTCTTCTACTTGATTATGGTTGAGGGAGTATTTATAAGGATAATTTAGAGAAAATTGATATATATATATATATATAATAAATGAGTCTTATATTTAGGACCAAAACCAACTCAATAATTGGATCCTATATTAAAAACCCGAGAAATACTAAATTATTTTTGACAGTGCCCTCCTGTATTTTTGCAATTGTTGAAATTTAAGAAAAAAAATTATTGTAAATGACTTTAATGAAGTGATAAACTCCATACAAATGCTGTAAATACCATTAGTACGGAAAAATACCCTTAATAGTGCAGCAAATAGTTTTTAATATGACCTTTTACTTTGGTTGTTATTTTATATATTATTTTGCAGTATTATAACAAATAGATTCCATGACTCCATGATCACTATGATAATGTCGTAAGCCTTGTTTTATATTGTAAGATTTAATTTTGGTCATGAATATTATTTTAGGACTTTAGAAATTGATGCCACCATTTGGAAATTTGGAATTTCAAAGAGTATTTTATTAGAATTTTCCCGAAGATTGAGAGTCTACGTCATATATAGTAATTTCCTTCCTGTATATAGGAATCTCGTGTTATTTTAACAAGGAAACTAAGATAGATAATAGCGTGTAGACATTCTCAAGATACCTTGAATTTTCAGAGTGGGGGGGGGGGGGGGGATCATTTAAGCCTTGAGGATTAAATTTGACATTCAATAAAGTTCCCAGGTCATTCAATCAAAGTTGGTCTTAGCATAAAAAATATGGCACTAGACTAAAGTATTTTATTTATTTTTTGGTAAAAGACCAAGTGGTTTTAAAGAATATAACATTCGTCATCATTGTAATCCCCAAGTGATCCGATTCAAGTGACTTCAAAATACCAAAAGATTAAAAATAAGATAAATCAAATTCCTCCATATCCCTATCCCAAACATGCGAAAGGTTTTCACATTTCCTTCCCTCCTCAACCTCCATTTCCCCTTCTGAAATACATATAAAATGATGTTTGGGTAAAATCAAAACCATAGTTTCAGAAATGCTTTTACGGTATACGAAGTAAATATGTAAAAAAATTTGCCTCGATTTGCGAAAAAACGTTTCTGGAAAGTGATTATTGGAGCATCCAAACAACCCCTAAAAAATACCAAAGAACCTTCATTATTTGACCAAGTACTAACTTGCGTCATTCCCCTCCTTTTTTATCAAAGGTTATGCCGAATGAAAAACAAAAACAGAAGCATCAAAACTGAACTGCATTCTATTCATAGAATGACACTCCAGCAAACCTAGTAGAGTATAGAGGGAACACCAATCACCAAAAACTCATAACAAAACATGAACTCAATTAAAAAAAAAAATTGTCACTAATATAAAAAACACACAGAAGATAGCCCAAATATCCTACACCTTGATGGCATATTTCCTCATGGAAAAGTATGTATCCTTTTTCTTTTGTCTTTCGGTCTTCAATGATGCCTGCATCAACAGTAATAGAGAAGCGGCATAAGAAGATTCAGTAAACTCATCATCAAATGAAGTCTAAAGATCATAAAGTTACTTGGCTCCAATGAAATTGATCGATCACAATAATTAAATGGCAAAAAGGTAGAACGATCACATATCTATCCCAGTCACCAAATACATTCCAAGTGCCAATCAAAATCAGAATCAAGATATATTAAGTTCCCCTGAATCGAGTCAATTAAAAATCATGAAATATAAATACCATATTTGATGAGTATAGCTGTTTCTAAAACTAGACCAACCCAATGGGTTCAAGCCAAGTATGATGTTCTTTTATCTTCTAATACCCAGTTAAGCAAGCAAACCAGACAGAAATGGCTGCTCAACTTCAGAATTGTAGGTTTCATTTGGACAATGACATGGTATTGGCAAGTTCTTGTTGAATGTGAAAAGCACAACCAGGAATCGACCTTGGGTCTTTAAAAGACCAATGCTTCGTTTTTGTCAATAAATACAACCAATATATTTGCAACAGTGTTTTTTTACCAGTTAAAAAATATATTCATATAATAATCTGTTATTTGCAAAATATGTAATGGTGTACTTTCCCAGATCACAGTGCAGTTCAAGCTATTTTCAAAATAAAGGTACAAATAATACATGAAAAAAGTACGGGTGACTTATGGTGGATAATGTTACAAAGCGCAGAACCTTCAACCGCAGACAACAGAAACAAAAACAGTCAAGTCTATATACATTTACGCCCCAAAACCAAATAAATGCATAAACACAGGTTCAACTAACTTCACATAATTTGGTAAACCACTGAGCAAAAAACTTACATTTTAGACAAATATAAAGCTAAAAATATGATGTCGTATGTTAATACATGGATATAAAACATGAAACAACTCAGTGAAGTCTCCATCCTTAAACCCCCAACAACACATAAACACGCACAAGCGCAGGTTCTTCTAGCTTCACTTAAATTTCTTAGTCCACTTGGCATATTAGATATCGTTATACTGCAAATTAACTCCTCATACAACGCTGAAAAGAAATTTCAATTACAGATGAACCAAAACTAAACTAAAATAAGAGAGAAAGCAGGGGAACCAAGAAGTGAAGTATGAGCACAAAACGAAAAGCAGGCAATAAATTACTAAACAATATAGCATTACCTGGTGCTTAGTGAGCCTTCTACGGATAGCCCTAGTCTTCTTAGGGCGCAGATCAAGAGGCAAAAACTTCTTGTTCTTGTATGCCTCCCTCAATGCAGCCTTCTGCTTCTGAGATATGACGGTCAACACCTGAGCTATGGACAACCTGACCACCTTACTGCACCCCATGATAAAACAAATATAAACACAAACACACTATAGACAATCAAAAGGGGAGGAAAAGGAAGTACATTCAATTTGAGGCTCTCAAAATTTGAAACTTAGAGCAAATTAACCTTTCCATTTGACCAAACTGTTTAGTTACTAAACCAAACGAACAAAATGATTCGTTTTCTTTTATGGAGAAATAAATCCAAGGCTAAAAGTGCAAGGAAGTATATTTTTCAGGAATCGGATTGAAAATATATTCCAGAATAAACCCACCAAGATCGGGATAATTACATCTTGGAAAGTTTGTTCGGTGCACCGCCAGTGACCTTAGCAACTCTGAGCAAAGCAAGCTCAGCCTTCAGATCCTTGAGCTGGTTGAGCAGCTCAGCCTTCGTCTTCTCCCTCAGTTCATGAACCTTGATTCTCGCTGATGGTGAAATGCAATTCAAGATCACAGCAAAAAAAAAAAAAAAGACAGTTCAGTCCAGAGAAATTAGAAACAGATACAAAGATTTGATCCAACTGGAAAGGTATAGATGGCAAACAAAACAAACCCATTGCTGTGTTCTTCCAAGCTTTCGCAGCGGCGCCTCTTTCCCTCCGGCTCCGTGGAAATAAACCCAAGGTCGGGGGTCCCAACGGCGAGTGTTTTTATTCCTTACTATATAGTCGCACGGTGAATGATAAAATAATGGGCAAATGGCAAACAAACCCCTTAAAGATATAAAATTATGATTTGAGTTCTTAGATTTATATAATTTCTGTCAAGGACCCGCTTTCAAATAGGAATTATGAAATATTGGTTGAAAGACAGAAATGCCTTTCTACTTCTCATATCCTCTTCCCATATCCATTTATCAATCTCCCTAGTTATCTTCATCTTCATTTGTTCCATCCTCCCAAACTCATCTCTTAAACCTTAATTACACTCATCATCTCTTCCATCGGATCCCTTTCTCTCTACCCCCAATCTTCCCCAATCTGGTTCTACCCTTCAAAATTGTCTTCATCATTATGGGCAAGAGAGATAGAACACCGTTGACAGAACCAAAAGATGCGACTAGATTTAAGAAGAAAGAGGGTTGACCCCTCTTCTTCAACCTTTAAAGGTGAGAGCTAGAATGATCAAAGAAGAGAAGGATGCCATTATCATTGTTCATCTCCATCTTCAATGCAGAACCAGAGAGGGCACTGTGGAGGCTGGATCATGAAAATAAGAATTATGAAACTAATAAGGAATTACTAACTCTTACTCTTTTGATATTTGCATAGTTAGCTTGAAAGATTTTCTTTACTTTTATTTGATTTTAATTTCTTTTTACTTATTTCAATTCAATTTGGTTTGCTAAGTCACCATTTTTATATATTATTCTTGAATTGACATCCCAAATTGATTCGTTTAATCTTCTTTGACTTGCACAGTCACCATCTTTCACTTATTTCATGCTCAATTTAGGTACAAGATGGGTTTTAAGAGTTATAGATTTTGTATGGTGTTTTTGCGCTATTGTTAATAACATTAGACTTAAATGGTTAACAAAGTTCATGTTTTGTTTTGTTTTCTCTTCTTACTAACTTGTTATCTCAAGCATAGAAGTTGTTATTTTCATAACTTAACTTATTATTTTGAATAGTTAACTTATTATACTTCACTTTAAAACAATAAACTTGTTGTTTCCATATTCAATCTTATTACTTGGAATAATTGGTATTCGTAGAGTTGTAATTTGTTATATTTCACTAGTTGTGGTTGTCAATGATTATATGCTGAATGTTTTGCTGAACCTGGTATGTGATTTGCTCAACTGAATGCAATAGTGAAGTTGTTATTTGACATACTTAACTTATATATAATATTTAAGTTGTGATGTGCTAAACTTAACTTGTTATTTGGAGCAGTAAAGTTATTATTTGATATCACTAACTTGTCATATGCTATATTTAAGTTGTGAGTCTCTAAACTCAACTTGTTATTTACAATAGATAAGTTGTTATTTAATATACTTGTTATATGTAATATTTAAATTGTCATTTGCTAAATTCAACTTGTTATTTAGAATAATTAAGTTGTAATTTGATATACTTAACTTGTTATTTGCTATACTTAATTTATAGAAGCTGACAAGGGATTGAAGACTAAAAGAATGGAGAGGTCTCTATAGATAGTTTTAATAGAAAAATCTGGATAAATTATACATACTATTGCTATATTTAAGATAGGTTTTTTTTTTTTTAACTTTGTTGATAAGTGATCACTGTTATGAGTTATTAATAACAGTTATGTATTACTGACATGATATCTAAATTTGAGATTATTAAATATTTCTGTTTGAATTGCCATTATTTTCATATTTCATTGCCAAACGACAAGGGTGGTAAGCCAAATGACAAGAGTCATAACTCAAATAACAAGTCTGATAAGCAAAATTACAAGCCTGTGACAAGATTTCTGATGAAATTAAGTTTCATAGAAGGTTACAATTATTTTCACATTTCACTACCAAATGACAAGAGCGATAAGTCAAATGATAAGAGTCGTAAGCCAAATAATAAGTTTAGTAAGTGAAATTATAAGCCTGTGACTAGGTTTTGATGAAATTAAGTTTCATTAAATGTTGTTATTATGTTCATATTTCACTGTCAAATGACAAAAGCAGTAAGCAAAATGACAATAGTGGTAAGTGAAATAACAATTCTATTATTAGGTTTCTTATGAAATTAAGTTTCATGAAAAGTTGCTATTATTTCCACATTTTGCTACTAAATGACAAGAGTAGTAAGCTAAATGACAAAAGTGACGAGCTAAATAACAAGTTTGGTAAGTTTCATGAAAAGTTATCATTATTTTCACACTATCAAATGACAAGAGTAGTAAGCTAAATGATAAGAATAGTAAGCGAAATAACAATTCTGTCATTAGGTTTATGATGAAATTAAATTTCATTAAAAACTGCCATTATTTTCACATTTCACTACTAAATGACAAGAGTAGTAAGCCAAATAACAAGTTTAGTAATTGAAATTACAAGCCTACGACTGGGTTTCTGACGAAATTAAGTTTTATAAAAAGTTGCCATTATTTTCATGTTTCACTGCTAAATGACAAGAATGATAAGTGAAATAACAATGCTGTAATTGGATTTATCATGAAATTAAGTTTCATAAAAAGTTGACATTATTTTCACATTTCATTGTCAAATGACAAATTTAGTAAGCAAAGTTATAAGCTTGTGACTAGTTTCTCATTAACTTGAGAACCTTAAATAGATCTATATTTTTACTATTTAGAATTGATAAATACAAATTATTAACATTATTCTGTCCATAAACAAAATGTCAATATTTTTATATCATTATGTCATAATGCCACCATCATAATGATAAGTCTACAGTTACAATACTACCAAGTGAAATTACAATAATAGTAAGCCAAATAACAAAAAACCAGAAATGTTTTAACAACAACCAATTTCTATAGTTAACCATTGGAATTCAGGGGATTGGAAGAAAATTAGGTTTAAAAAATGCTGGGAAGCTACCAGCAAAAGATGGCGTGCTCTTCGCCGTTACTTTCTACTCTATGGGGTTAGTATGATGACTCCATAATCACCTATTCAATGTTCATAATGCTACAAGGGGTTGAGAGAAGTGGAGGAGGACAATTTAAGAGAAGATACAAGGGAGACTGCTATGGTAATTCTCTCCTCCTTGATAGCATTTGATGGTAAATAGCGATGAGTGCTCTACATTTTCCACCATGGAGTGTTCTTAGATCGCTAGGAATTTGGAGGGAGTGAAGATATAAAGTGGGGTGGGGGGAGATAGGGGTGGGGATGAGGAAAGGGGTCGGGGGAGAATGAGAAGAAAGGGGAAGTAGAGGAGGAAGTGTAACGCCGCAAAAATCTTAACACTGAGAATAAGAAAATCCCAAGACATTTAAGGGCCAGAATAGTGGAAAGAAATATGAAAATGCTGGGAAAATATGTTAGAAATTCTCAAAATTTAACAAATAATTATGAAAGATAGAGAAAACGTTCCTGGAAAGTATTAGAGGCTCAAAAGTTGAAATTATGATAAAAAGCAATAATTATTGCATTTTCAGTAATTGTTGAATATTGACTAATGGGGAAATTGGTCAAAAATTAATTATAGAGAATAGTTTTGAGTCTTACAAAATTAAGGAAAAAAAGGATAAGGTGTCTTGAGAATTATAAGACATTGTACAACTAGTTTTATTCCCAAAATACCCCTGGTTAATTTTGTAAAGGAATTTAAAGTCCAATTATGCTAATTGGGATTTTATTCGAGAAAATTCCAAATAAATACTTATGAGGCTAAATGAATTTCAAGAAAATTCATGAAACTTATATGGGATTAATAAGAGGTTATAAAATAATCAAGAAATTTTTAATGAGCCCAGAGACCCAAAAAAGTAACTCCCAAATAAGAAAACTAATATAGTAAGAAAATGTTTTCTTTTCTTTTAATGATGCAAATTCATTATGGGAGCAAAGGAGGGCTCTTTAGGAAGGAAAAATTGATAAGAAAATGTTAAGGATCTGACATAAATTAATTAGGAAGCTCAGATCACTGATATAGAAAAAGACAAAGCTATTTCAGTATAAAAAAGGTGCTAAAAAAGTGAAAAAGTACATACCTTTTTACTTAGCTCTCATTGTGCCACTTGTCAAGATAGCGGTGGAGAGGATTTTTGTAATAACCCCCGTAATTCATGGTAAATAAACATTTTCAAAAGGATAATTACTTTACAAGGCTAACCATGGTAGGAAGGACAAATCTAATCAAATAGATATCTACCATAGTCAATAACAAACCAAATCTTTAACAGAGTAGTAGCTACTGTTCTAGAATAGTAAAGATAGTTAATCAAATAAGAAAGGATCAACATTTGATTTTTCATGTATATATCGAATTGATCAGCAATACTCTAGAATCTCAAATACAATTAAGACCAATTGTAAATGGGCTAGGGCATTTGAAGTCCACCAAGATAACTACTACTACTGCCCATCAACAATTGCAATCAAAATAGCGATCACCTATATCCAAAAAGGGCTCCGCCCGCTAACTCAAGTCCAGAATGCAGCGGAAAATCAAACGCATGCTAAGTATAACAAAAAGGCCCTAAAGTTTGGCAATATACATCAGTCAAATCATGTATATCAAAATAGAGGTTATACAGAGTTGAAAGGAAAACTCAAGCCTCGGACACCTTCCCCTTGGGACCAACACTTGAACCCTCGCCTGAAAAATGTTAAATAACCACGGGGTGAGTCAAATTGACCCAGTAACCACAATTCCAATTCAACAAGTATCCAGGGAGTGATTACAAGATAGTTAAGCGGGCAAAGTACAATTTCAAATAACATATAAGTTAAACATCTTTACAGAAAACAATATATAATAATTCAAAAAGTAACTTGCATGCATAGGACTTCATCAACCATCCTTATAACCTCCTTGTAACCTCTGATAGAACCCATGGGCTATTCACACATAACAGGATTCGTCTCTTTTACAAGACTGCACCAAGCTCTCCAATAATGAGGTGTAACTCGGCCAAAAGTTACAGAGCTCATATCGGACCATGGGTTCCCTTTCCTTGGAATATGGAAAGTTGTCATGTCCCTTGGG